CCTGGGTGGGTGAGACGCATGCGAACACCGTCACTGGGGCCTTCGGTGACGCTCACAATGGGGCCACGAAGCGCTGTCCAGGGTGGGGGAGACGCATGCGAATACCCCAATTGAAGCCTTCGGTGAAGCTCCATATGGGGCCGCGAAATATTGTCCTGGGTGTGGGAGGGACGCATGCGAACACCCCCACTGGGGCTTTCGGTGGAGCTCACAATGGGGCCACGAAACGTTGTCCTGGGTGGGGGGGACGCATGCGAACACACTGATTCTGGCCTTCGGTGGAGCTCCTTATGGGGCCACGGAACGCTGTCCTGGGTGGGGGAGACGCATGCGAACGCCCCCAGTGGGGCCTTCGGTGGAGCTCCATATGGGGCCACGAAACGTTGTCCTGGGTGGGGGAGACGCACGCGAACACTCCGACTGGGGCCTTCGGTGGAGCTCCCTATGGGTCCACGAAGCGTTGCCCTGGGCGGGGGAGACGCATGCGAACACCCCCACTGGGGCCTTCGGTGGAGCTCCCTATGAGGCCACGAAACGCTACCCTGCGTTGGGGAGACGCATCCGAACACCCCGATTGAAGCCTTCGGTGAAGCTCCCTGGGGCCGCGAAATATTGTCCTGGGTGGGTGAGACGCATGCGAACACCGTCACTGGGGCCTTCGGTGACGCTCACAATGGGACCACGAAGCGCTGTCTTGGGTGGGGGAAACGCATGCGAGCACCTCCAGTGGGGCCTTCGGTGGAGCTCCTTGTGGGGCCAAGAAGCGCTGTCCTGGGTGGTGGGGGGGGGACGTGGAGCTCCCTATGGGGCCACGAAGCGCTGTCCTGGGTGGGGGGGGGAGCGCATGCGAACACCGCCAGTGTCGCCTTAGGTGGGGCTCCCTGTGGGGCCACGAAAGGTGTGAGGGGTGTGACGACATGGGCGGTGGGGGCGATGATGGTGGCGATGATGAGGAGGATGTGGATGAGGATGATGCTGGAGATGATGATGCTGATGGATGATGGGTGACGGTGATCATGGTGACGATGTTGTAGGGAGAGGGAGGCGATGATGATGTTGATGATGATGATGAAGATGATGATGATGATGATGATGATGATGATGATGATGATGATGATGATGATGATGATGATGATGATGATGATGATGATGATGATGATGATGATGATGATGATGGTGATGGTGATGGTTAGGAGGAGGAGGATGAGGAGGAGGAGGAGGAGGAGGAGGAGGAGAGGAGAGGAGAGGAGAGGAGAGGAGAGGAGAGGAGAGGAGAGGAGAGGAGAGGAGAGGAGAGGAACGCGGGGCGCTGTCTCTTCAAAACGAGGACCCACCACCACAGGATGGTTGGGAATAACATCTAAGGTTTTCTTTCGGTTTTATCGAATTCACACATGTTTAGCGTATCTCTCTTTCGGGCCCTTGCAGCGTTTACGACGGGCCAGAATTCCCCAAGATCGCCCCAAGCTGGCCCAAGATGCCCCCCGAGAGAATCCCAAGGCGGCTCGAGAGGGCCCCAAGACGGCCCAAGACGGCCCAAGAGAGCCCCAAGATGGCCCAAGAGGCGCTCAAGACGACCCAAGGTGGCCCAAAGATGGCCCAGAGTGGGCCCACAAGAGACCCCAGATGAACCCAAGACGGTCCCGAGAGCGCTCCCAGAGAGCCTGGCGAGGCTCCCAACGGATGCTACAACGCACCCCTCTGCTGTAGCATCCGTCGGGTGCTTCGTGACGCCCTTGGGGTCGTCCTCGAGCCCTCTCGAGCCCCCCTTGTGGGGCGATGGTCGACGTTCTCTGGGTGCTCCCAGAACCTCCTGCAAGGCTGCAAGACGGCCAGAGAGAGCTGCAAGACAGCTCAGGGAAAGCCCCAGGACGCCCCAAGAGGCGCCCAAAACGATCCAAGATGGTCCAGAGATGGCCACGCCGCGTTCCCCTGCCAGGGCACCTGCGGATTTGCTCCACGGGTTCACACTGGTCTCCCCTACATTGCAGGCACCTTTGCGCACAAGACGGGCCTGGGACTTGAAACGCCCCCCAGGCCCTCCGGACCCTCTCAGAGACCCCAGAGCGCTCCGCGACGGCCCCAGCGAGTTCCCGGACGGCACCGTACGGCCCCCCAAAAAATCCGCGACGCTTAAGAGGGCGTCGAGGTGGCACACTACTTCCCAATATTCTCCCAAGACGCCCCCAGAGGCCTCCAAGATTGACTGATTAGCTCAAGATTGATTGGCACATATCTGATTATCGCACCTGTTTAGAGTAAACGCCTTATTTGTTCTATTTCATTTTCTCGAATTCGGAGATGGTTGTTTCGGCACAAAGCTTTCTCGAGGCAGCGGCTGACAAACATGGAGAATCCACGGTATGCATGGTGCTAGAAGCACTGAGCAAAGCCAGGGCCATCCACATTGAGCAAGCCCCACACGGATTCTTTATCAAGATGCATTTTGCGAAGTCCCGTGACCACAATGCGAAGTGGTCATCAAGTCAAGGATTGCAAGTATCCCGCGAGCAATTTCTGGGTTGCCGGCGTGTCTCTCACGATGCCCGTTGCCAAAACAGTGGGGACGACAAACATATCCGCTCATTGCCGTCCGGTTCGCTTGTTGGTAGCTCTTATGGCAAACGTATTCTCGATTTGCGCAGCAGCTCACCAGAGAGAGTTGGGAAACACAGTTCGGGCACTCATCGCTCTGATATGTCGGTCCCGGCGGTATCCATGAGCACTTGACACAATGTGACAAGCCGACAAGCCCGGCCCAAGCAGAAGGCACTACACAGACTGGAGAGGACGATCCGGAGTACCAGGTGCACATGACAACGTCAGATTACCAAGTGATCGAGGAATTGGAAACACAAGGTACGTGGGAGAAAGTCGCGGGCCCAATGGTTGGGGACGTTTTGGAGGTTTGCAAAGAATTCACTTCCGACGATGCTTCCTGCCGGGTTGTATTGAAGCCAGAGGTCCGTGGCAAAATCGAGGAAATCGATGACGACGTCGACATGAAGGTATTCTTTCCGAGCTTAGTGAAGAACAACCTTCCTCGATGGTTTGGCACGCGACGGGTCTGTCAGCATCATTTTGCTTACCTCAAAAAGCGTACGAAGCCAGAAACGTACGCCATTGCAGAGCATTCAGCAGAACAGGGAACAGCTGAAGTCGAACAAGAAGACCATCCTGAGTTCCGGCGCTCGGGCGCCCCCGCTGCGCTCTTAGAGCGGCGCCGCGCCCCGGCGCGAACTACAGCGTCCGTCCGTCCGTCCGTCCGTCCGTCCGTCCGTCCGTCCGTCCGTCCGTCCGTCCGTCCGTCCGCCACCAGAGACGCATGATTGATTCTAATCAGGTCTTGAAGGATTGGGGCTTTCTCGTATTTTTCGGCTTCGCGATTCTCCAAGACGGCTTCAGACGTCAAGATCGCCACAAGAAGGTCCAAGGGGCCTCCCAGAGGGCCACCAAACGTTTAGACGGTCCAAGAGGCCTCTAAGGCTGCCCAAGAAGCCCGCAACACGGCTCCAAGAGAGGACCCACACGGGGGACACGGACAGACATTTCGAGCCCTCGGCCCGAAGAGGCCTTCAGGAGGCCCCAAGAGGCCCCAAAGAGGCCCCAATGAAACCCAACGAGGCCCTTAAATGCGGGCCCCCCGCGAGGCTCCCGCGAGGCCCTCCAGAGGCCCCCAAGAGGCCCAACAGCTGCCCCCTTAAGAGGCCCCTAAACTGTCCCCAAGAGGCTCTGGAGAGAGCTCCGAAGAGACCCCAAGAAGCATCCCTGAGGACTCCGACACTCAATCCAGGCACCGTGGCCTGATGTGCCAGCGGCCACGATTTAGCTCTGCGGCACTCAAGAGTGCGCCGAGGCGGCTCCAGCGGACTCGCAGGGACCCACCACGGCGGCCCCAAATGGTTTCTATTTCGGCAAAGACGGCCCGCACGATTGTCCAGGAGGCTCCTGCCAACTGCCCTAGAACTCTAACAGCATACACGTCCTGGTGGTAGTCAAGACATTTCAAGTTCATGCAGTGTTGGGTCCAGAGCGCGCTCAGACGGCTCTAGCACCCTTCTGGACGGCTCTCGACGGCCCACTGAGCGTCGAGGAGGTCTCCCAGACGGCCCCAAAGGTTTTCCAAGACAACCCAAACAAGGTTCAGCACGGCCCCAGAGAGCCCCAAGTGCCCCCCGAGGCAACCCGAAAAGCGCCCCAAGAGTTCCTCGAGAAAACTTGACGCGCGCTCCAAAACGGCACCGATCCCCATCATGGCCCCTTAAAAGGGCCACGAGCCCCCCAACACGGCCCAAGGGGGACGTACATTCACCCAAGATGGCCCCAAGAAGCTCGGAGGGTCTTGTCGACCTTCATCGGGCTCCGCGGTGGCAAAGCACGGGCGTGCGAGAAGGGCATCCTGTTCTCTGGGCCTGGCCCTGGGCGGCGTTGCTTCGGCATCTCCTCCGCAGATGGGGGCGGCGCCGCCCTCGGCGCCTCCAGGCTCGCCTCCACGTTCATCCGGCGGTGCGTGGCATGGCCTCGGAGTGCCCTGACGCGCCTCCAAGATGGCCTGGGCCTCAGGAAGCCCCCAAAGCGGCCCACTAAGCTCACAAGACGGCCGCATGATGGCCCCCCAAGGCCCCCCCGAGAGCCCACGACGTCAATAGCGAACCTCTACTGGCCATCAGCAGCAGCACCCTGCAGCTACAAAAGCAGCGCAGCAGCGGTAAGCATTACCAACAGCACGCAGCAGCGGCAGCAGCAGCAACATGCAGTAGCATGCGCGGGGTGCGAAGTTCGAGCCCCGCGTAATCATGCAGCCTTTCGGCAGCATGTCCACCACCACATGCCAGTTTGTGCAGATTTTGTGGCCGTGGTCCATGCGTCAGCTCAGCTACAACGCAGGGATCAGCGCGTGCGAGAAGGGCGAGCAGTGGCAGCGAGCTCTTGCCCTGCTGGGCGAGATGCGGGAGGCAGCTTTAGAACCCGTCGCAATCACCTACAGCGCAGGCATCAGCGCTTGCGAGAAGGGCGAGCAGTGGCAGCGGGCTCTTGCGCTGCTCCGGGAGATGTGGGAAACGAAAGTGGAGCCCAACGCAATCTTTCACACACCGGAGCAGCCCGTGCGTGCGAGAGCGGCCTGGGATCCAATCGAGAGGGAAATCGGTCCAGCAGGCCAGGGCGCGCCCCCCGGGCGGCCCCTGGACGTTCCAAGACGGCAAGGATGGTCCACGAGAGGCCCTGGGTACGGAGACGGCCACGGGAGCCCAGAGACGGCCCAACAGCGCTCCAACACGGCTCCAGATGGCCTCCGGACGGTCCAGGAAGCCCAGAAGACATCCCAAGAAAACAACTCTTTACGAGAGCACCCTCCAGGGAGCCTCCACGAGCAAAAACTACGGATAATCCGCAGGTTTTTGAAGGGTTTTCGCTCCCTCATTTCTTCGGGCCCGGGGACCTCTTCAAAACAGTCCGCCTGGTTCTCCCAGCTTCTGCCCAAGAGGGCTCCAAGAGGCCCCCCAAGAGGGCCCCGACAGGCCAGAGTCATGTGTGTTTCCCATTGGTTTTTGTCACCACTTCGGACTTCCGACGCTCCAAGACAGCCCAAGAGTCCCCAAGGTCGCCCCAAGGCTGCCCGCGAGGCCGCCAAGAGGGCTCCCAGGTGGCCCAAGAGGCCCCCAAGACGGCCCCAAGAGGCCCTCCGAGGGGAAATGCAAAGTCAGAAGGGGCCCGGCGACCGGCGAGCTCCACTGCAGAAGCTCGGCGGAGGGCAGGCGCCGCTGTCCCTGCAACTGCCAACCTGCGTGCGGGGCGGACCAGCGCAGCGGGAGGTCGACCCCAGCCGCACCCATGAAACAAACAACAAAACATGCAGAGCAGGAACCATGCATCGCTGAGTGGGGCGAGGGAGGAGGAGGAAGGAGGGGGGGGTGGCGACTGCACGCTCAAATCGAGCGCTCGGGGCCTCCACGGCCGCCCACGGACCTGCCAGCTGGGATCCACAGATCGGCACCACGATTGATCGGCACCACGATTCGGAGGGAGGGGGAGGGCGAGAAGGCCGAGGACGAGGGAGAGAGGAAGTGGCCGAGCGCTCTGGCGTTAAAGCGCCCAACTAACATCGAGAAGCGCACACCACACCGGTTGAAAACGGGGGCCGCTGTCTCCGACGCCAAGGCTTATGGCTGGCGTGTCTCAGGGTGGCGGGCATGGTCGCGTGCCTCAGGGTAGCGGGCATGAGGTTGCACTCATGTTTCGAGGTAGTTCGTTATCAAACTTATCGCCATGCGCGTGTTGTTTCAGTTTGCTGTATTGTGCGCCGGCCGCTCTTGGCATTGGCTCCTCTGCTTCGGCATCGAGGCTTTCTGCAAGCTTGTAGTTGTCCCCCTCCTCTTCCTCCCCCCCGGCTTCTGCCGTCCCCCACTCGCGTTGGGCACCTGTGCGAGTCCCGCCGTCTTCACCAGTAAGGGGTACGCACGGGCGAGTTCGTTTCTAGTGGCGTGGTACAGCCGTACGTACTCAGGTTGATGGGCCGCCGTGTGGGCGTAGAAATCTGCAGCCCAGCTAGGTTGTCTCAGCGTGCCACATTCCAGCATGCGCGTTGGACATATTGCCGCAGAGCGTGCGCTCATGCGAGGATTTCGACACTGCATTGAGGTGAGTTTTGAGGGACGTTGATCATCGGCTGCCCGCGTCCTCTTCCGTTTCCCCTTTTCCCCCCCTTCCCCGAAAGATGCGCTGGATAAGGAAGAAAAAAAAGAGGCCCTCAGAGGGGAAACTCGAGTCGACATGTCGCGCCCTCCGCCTCAAGATGACCCCCGAGACCGCCAGCAGGCCCCCAGGCGGCCCTCCAGAAGCCCCAGGAGGTCCCCAAGAGTCCCAACTCAGGCCCCAAAGGGCCCGCCCGAGAGGCCCCGAGGCAACCCCAGAACCACCTCCAAGAGGCTTCCAGTGGAAGATTCCCTAAAGAGCCCGTACCGTCAAAATCCATAATAAGGACGCGCGACTTTGCTCAGGGTACCCTTGCGTCTTTGCTCTTCCTTGCTCTTGCGTCCTTGGGGTTTTCGTCGTCCCCGCCCCAAAAAACCCAACTTCGGCTTCGAAGGGTCTTGCGTCCTTGCCGCGCGTCTTTATTAGGGTTTTTGACTGTAGATCGCGCTGGCCACCCAGGCAAATCAGGCGTCCATGCGCTTTCTGATTTTCCTCTGGAGCGGCTCCAGTCTGAACGGGCCGTCTACGCTCCGATTCGATGTGGTTCGATTGCGGGCCCAGCCCGCGATTCTGCTTTGATTGGATTCTGCTCGGTTCACTGGCATCGACGGGGGCCAGCCGGAGCCAGGCGCGGCGTTCGTTTCGGGACGATTCGGTGGCGATCCCATCCGTGTCCGACCTGATCCGATTTCGCGATTCGATCCTCATTAAGCAGGATACAGCCCCTAACCCTAATAGCACAGTGAATTCGTGGCCTAACTCAGGTCCACGGTTGTGAGGGACATATCCCTCAAATCGTCTGGGTGGCATCCCTAAAATCGTCTGGGTGGCCTCGCCCGACACATCTGCCAAAAGGACCCCTTATTCCTAATGCATTTGGCCCTCCTAACTTAGGTCCCCTCCCAAAGGATCTGAATCGACTTGAGGCCCATTTGGGGCGCTTCAGGGCCGTGTTGGAGGCCATCTTGGGCGTCCTGGAGGCCTCTTGGGCCGTCTCGGGCCCCTTCTAGGACCGCATTCGGAGCTTCTCGGGCCGTCAGGGGTTCATCTTGGAGGCCTTTGGGGCAATCTTGGGGGCCTCTCGGGCCGCTTTGGGCCGTCGGAAGGCCGAAAAGTTACAAAAGGCTACACTCTTCCAAAATCCTGAGGAAAGTCATCGTTTTTGGGGCATCTTCGTCCTCCATATCAGATCCAGCTCAGGCCTGCCCTTGAGTCGGGCATGTCCCTCTACAGGAGGAACGTTCGGAAATAGTTGCAACAAATTGTCTGGAGACGATTTGTTTGACTAGTTTCTGACTCTTTTTAAGAAATGTGGCTGATTTTTCATCCAAGATCCGCCTGTAGGGGGCAGGCTCGACCTGAGCCTGCCCGTCAGGAAGCCCTCCCCGAGAGTGCTCCGGACCCGCCGGCCACCGGTGGCACGTTCGCGACAGGGCCTTCGTGCCCGAGCATGCGCGGCCCTGGGCGGCTCCTGCGCGGCCCGGGGCCTCTGCAAAGAGAGCCCCAAATGTGGCCCCGGGACGGCCCCAAGACGTCCCCCAAGACGCTGTCTTCCCTCCCCTCCCTTTCTTTCTTAGCCGAGCTCCGAGGCGGTCCTCCGCCTGTAGCGTCAGTGAGCGCCTGGCCTGGCGCCCCGCCCCCACCGTGGTCTGTACATGGAGGTCGAGGAGATTACCCGCCAGTGAGGATCGAGGTTCGGCCCCCAGTCCCTTGGTTGGGATGTGATTGCTCAGCCTTCCCCTCCCCTCCCCCCCTTCCTCCCCCTGATGCCAGGGGTCCAACGTATAGTGAGACAGCCAGGACGGAGGGGTTTCCGCAGCTTTCGGCCTCTATAGGGGCCCTCGCCGTGCCCGGTCCCGGGGAACGGGTCGAGATTTCCGGGGAACCCGTATGGAAAAAAACACGACGTCGGATCTCTGGGTTCGAGCAGCGGTGAAGCGTCCTTGCTTGCCTGTAGGCCCACCGAAGAGGGTTCCAAGAGCCTCCTTCCGTGGTCTGCACGGCACGTTCTCAGGACCTTTCTGGCTGAGGCTGTCCTGTTTTCACACATCGGATTTGTGTTCTGAGGACATTGCTTTTGTACTTTGAATTTTTTGGGGTTCTGAGGACATTCCTTGGTAAGCCGATAGGAATGTCAGGGCGATCGGTCCATTTCAACACTGCCGCTTTGCCCCCCCCTCCTTCTTCCTCTTCCCCCTCCGCCCGAGTCGTCTGGGGCTGTTTCAGATCTCGTCATCGTCGCTGCAATGCCGAATGTCGACGCGCTGTAAGTCCCCTCGGTTTTCTTCTTTCTCCTCCCCAAATTGCATCAAGAAAGACGCCCCGAAAACGGCTTCCAGACTTTAAGAAGTGTCTCTTGACGGCTAACAGGCCATGAGGCGTCCAATGGAGCCTAGGGAGGACCCCGATGACAGCCCGAGGCGGCGAACGAACATAACCTTTCCTTGAGTTTTCTACACGGTTTTTGCCGGTTCTCGTTATTACGAACCCAGAACACGCCAAGGTGGCTCCGGGGCCTTCCAGAACCGTCGAAGAGGCTCCGAAGACGGCCCCAAGGCGGCCACGAGTGACCGAAGGCCCAAAAGTACCCCAGGACGGCGCAGGAAGCCCCCATGGGATTCAAAAAGGCGCTAAAAGTTGCCCAAGAGAGCTCACAGAGATCTCCAAGACAGCCTTGGACGAACGACATAGCCCCCAGGCGGCCCAAGAGGCTCCCAACATGGCCCGAGGGGGACCCCAAATATCCCAACAGAGCCTTCAGATGTCCTGAAAAGTCATGCTGGGCGCTCCGAAGAGGGCCCTGAGATGGCACGGATGACGTTCAAAGTTCTGCGCGCCAAGGCTCCCAAGAACGAACGGTGAAGGGAGACAGATGGCCTCACAGGCCCCCCAAACCCGAGAATCTCCCAACAGCACATCCTGGAGGGTCCGGGGGAGACGCTTGTGCCGCCACAGAGCGCTGGAAAGTTAACAGCACCGTGGGCGCTTATTCCCCTTACTATTGCTGCGCAGCTCCAGGGCACCCTTCGCCGCTGCCGCCCATGTGAGGCGAGATACATTGGAGGCCTCCGCGGAGTGCAGTCCTCGACATACTCTTGTCCCAGAGGTGCGCGGAGAATTTGCCGAAAAGTGTGTACGCAGCTCACTGTGTGTCCGTTTTCCGACCATCAGGTTCACTATGCAGCTCTTGTACACAGTCGACCGCACGACATTCCCAGGCCCCTGGGGCGGCACCGAGCTTCCCCATGGGCTTCCTGGGACTGCTTCTGGCGGCCCTTCTTTGCGTCTTTGAAGCCTGTGGAGTTCCCTGGGGGGACGCACGGGGCCTGGAGGCAGAGAGCCTCACGGGCTTCAAACACCCGAGAAGACCCCACAGGCCAAAGACTTACCGCAGAGGGCCCATGGGGAGACGTCTTTGCCGCTCAAAGGCGCCAGAAAATTGACAGCAACTTGGGTGTCTATTCCCCTTGCTATAGCCTTGCACCTCCAAGGCACCCTTCGCCGCTGCCACCTAAGTGAGGCGAGATACACTGGAGGCCTCCTGGGAGCGCAGTCCACAACATATGTTGGTCCAAGAGGCGCGCGGAGACGGCGCCGAAAAGTACTCCGCCCAATGTCATCATGAAAACCTTTCGGCGACATCCCCGCCTGGACCCCGCAAGCTTTCTCGAAAAGCCTGCGTGGGCGTAGTCCACGACTTCCCCCTAGTCTTCTGTACTACAATTCCGGGCGAAGCGCTTGCGAAAAGGTCAAGCAGTGGCAGCGCCCCGGGCCGCCCAGAGAGCTCGCGAGCCGCTCGGAGATCCTCTGGGCCGCTGCCCGACGGGCACGGGAGGCCCCCGGACCGCTCGCGGACTGATCCAGGATTCCCAGATCGCCCCAAGACGGCCTCACAGACACCCACAAGGGCCAAAGCCGACCCGACCGAAGCCCCCTGACGGCCCCAAAAGGCCTCAGAGACGGCTCCCGAGGACCGCCTGGACGGCGCCAAGGGGCAAAACTTATCCGTTTTCCGAAGGTTTCGAGGGTTTTCCTGATCCCGCCACTTCGGGACCACAACGGCCCAGGATGGCCCCAGAGGGCCCCAGTCGGGCCCCCAGACGGCCCGAGAAGGCCCGCAGACGGCCCAAGAGGGCCCTAAGACGGCCCAAGAGAGCTTCAAGTGATTCCCAAGTCAGCCCCAACCAGGCCCCAGACCCCGCCCGACCGGGCCCAAAGCGACTTCCGAAACGGCCCGAGACCCCAAGATGGCCCCAAGACGCCGCCAGAGGGGCCCAAGGTGCCGCCCAAGAGGGCCCAAAGCGACCTCCGAGACGGCCCGAGACCCCCGAGATGGCCCCAAGACCTCCCTGCGCGGCCCCCAACCGAGGCCCGCAAACGTGCCCCCCTCACTCTGAGTGTGCCTGAAAAACTTTCTGTGTTTTTGCTAATCGCGCCTAGGCCCGGCGCGATTAGCAAAAACGCATCTCTTTTCACGCTTCCAGGTCAGTGCCCCCGGAGCTCCCCGACTGCTTTCCGGGGTGGCCCCCAGACGTGGCCTGTAAACGTCGTCCCCACGTGGCCCCCAAACGGGACCCCCAAAGGCGGCCCCCACACAAAGCTTCCGGAGGTCGCCCCTACCGCCCCAGTAAGCGTGGCCCCCGAACGTCACCCCCACGCGTAGCCCCCAGGCGCCCCCAAACGTGGCCCCCACACAGCCCCCAACCATTGCCCTCAAACGTGACCGTCACATGTGCCTCCGAAGGTCGCCTTTACCGCCCAAGGGACGCCAGAGCTGTTCAACGTCGACGAGCTGGTTACCTACGGTGTGCGAGTTCCAGGCTCAGCACGCCGTGCATTTAATCCACGGGTTCACACTAGTCAGCTACAATGCTGGGATCAGCGCTTGCGAGAAGGGCGGGCAGTGGCAGCGGGCTCTTGCGCTGCTGGGCGAGATGTGTGAGGAAAGCATAGAGCCTAACGCAATCAGCTACAGCGCTGGGACCAGCGCTTGTGAGACTGGCGAGCTGTGGCATCGGGCTGTGGAGGTGCTGAGCGAGATGACATCTTTCTCATATTACAGGACCCCGTGCGTGCGAAACGTGCCTGGCGACCGAGTTCGGTTTCGCGGCCCCCCGATTGCCCGGGAGCCCGAAAAACGCTCCGCCGCTTCCCCAAGCAGCCACGAGTGCCCCACAGGGCCCAGGGGCGCCCCCAAGATGTTCCCAGAGGGTCATGTGGAATACCTTCAGGGCTTCGCGCGGCCCAGAGAGCTCCCAAGGCGCCCCATAATGACAGAGAGGTGGCCCCGAGAGGCTCCAAGAGGCTTATGCTCAGGCTCCACAAGAAGGGAACGTGGCCAACAACGTTTGTTTTTTTTGATTTCCAGATGAAACCCAAACATGGGGGTTGTACAGTTTGCTTGCTAATGGGTAGGCCCGTCAGTTGAAGCGTATCTGGCAGCACGCGTGCGGAAAGACACATTGTGTTCTACACACTATGTGTTGTTGCAAGCGTTACTGCGTAATTCTATGATCTGGATCATGCAAGCTGGGTTATGCAAAGCTCGATATCGCCCTGGCGATCGCAGCAGCGAAGCCTGATCTGGCATATCTACGTATGGCATGTTCCATTGAGGCGCACATCGATCAGGGCGGAGTTCGAGAGGACGCAAGGCTGCCGTTCCCGCTCGAGCTGGGCTGGAGCTGAAGCTGAAGCCGAGGTTGGTGCTTGAGCTGAAGCTGGGATGGAGCTCGCGCTTGATCTGAGCTGGACCTGGGCTGGAGATGGACCTGGGCTGGAGTTTGAGCTGGCGCTGGAGCTTGAGCAGGAGCTGGAGCTGGGGCTGGAGCTTGAAACAGGGCTGGAACGAAGCTGCAGCTGGAGCCAGAAGCGGCAAAGAAGGTCCGAGATTGGCTCCAAGAGGACGCCTTGAGCGACCCAAGAGGAGGCATGGTGTACTCGCGTCGGCGAGTTCGGGAGATTTGTCTGCGTGTACTGGCCGCTTCTCAAGCCTCCCTTCAAATTTCTTGTTTTCCCCTCCTTGCTCCACGCTCCTCGCTTCTCGCCTGCTTCTCCTCGCTCCTTGCCCCCCACGCCTCTCTCCTCGCTCCTCCTCCCTTTTCCCATCCCCCGCTCTCCCCAGTCCCTCCTCGCCTCTCTCTCTCCTTTGCTCCTCTCGTCTCACTCCGTCGCCGTTCGGTCCTCTCTTCTGGCCCTTTGCTCCTACCTTTTGGCTGGTCGCACCTCACTCGCCCCTCCTCCCTCTTCGGCTCTCCCTCATCCTTCTTCGCTCCTCTCTCATCGGTGGTCTCTCCTCCCTTCTCGTTCATTTTTTTGTGCTCTTCGCTGATCGTTCATCGCTTGTCAGTTCTCCTTCCTCTATATTGACTTCTGCCCCCTTTGCACTTCACATGCAACCGCAGTCCAGTCCACATTGATTTTGTGGTTAGTAGTCCACTGGTTCGCCCTGTCAGCTACAGCGCTGGGATCAGCGTGTGCGAGAAGTGCGCGCAGTGGCAGCGGGCTTTGTCACTGCTGAGGGAGATGTGGGAGGCGGAATTGGATCCCGACCGCATCAGCTACTGCGCTGGGATCAGCGCTTGCGAAAAAGGCAACCAGTGGCAACGGGCTATGGCACTGCTGAGGGAGATGCTGGAGGCGAAACTTGATCCCGACCTTATCAGTTGCAGCGCAGGGATCAGCGCCTGCCAAAAGGGCGAGCAGTGGCAGCGGGCTCTTGCACTGCTGAGGGAGATGCGGGAGGCTATGTTGGTTCCCGACGCAATCTCCATCCACTACAATGCCACGTCCAGTTCGAGCGACAGTATTGCTTGTGGCAGTGAACCGACCCCACGGGGCCGCGCTGACCGGGCCCTCGCAACCGCCATGGTGGCTGCTGGAGCGGCCACTGACGGTCCAACACGGCCCGAGGCGGCCCAAGCGCGTTCTGAAACCGCGCACGATGTCCCCAATACGGCCCAAGAGGCTCCCATGACGCCCTGTGGCCCCAACAAAGTCCTTTTGGCGGCTTCCAGAGGCAGAATTCAGTGATCTCTTCGCGTTTTTGTCTCAATGATTTTAGCGTTCGCGCCCAGGGCTCCGCGCAGGCCACGACGGCCCGAAGGTTCTCCCAGATCGCCCTAAGGTGGCCAAGGAGGTTCCTAAAACGTCTCCTGGCTTCCCCGGGCTGCTCCGGCTGGGCCCTCGGAGCCGCGGTTCCGGAACGGCCCGGGAATGTCCAGGACGGCCCGAAGCTTCCCAAGCGCGTTCTGAAACCGCCCATGATCGCCCCAATACAGCAGAAGATGTTCGACTGGTCTTTTCATCTCATCGTGCTGTGGCCCCTCTCCGTTTCCAGCTACATATACATGGCACGCATATAACGCGACTAAGGCGACGATACGGGTGGAATCCGAGTCCGGCAATGCAAGGGCTATTCCATTACCCTTGACGCGAGGATTACACAGACCATATCATCACCGAGGGCCTTGACGAGCGCGATTGGAGGAGGCAGGTGCTCGAAAAGCTGACGGACGAGGAGGCGCCGCTTCTACACGACGTTCTGGGTGCGGATGGCGAACGCAACGGACGGCGCCTCAGTTCGCGATCAATGTCTTTTTAGCTTTCTGCAGATTGGGGTCAATCTGTCAAAGGCGACTGGGGCCCTCTGGGGAAATCTACATACAGAAAGTAAAGACCCCAGGGAATTCTCAACATTATGTTTCGGAATCTTCTACAGATTCCCAACGACATCTCTTGAACATCTCCAGGCTTAACAACTCCCCAGGGACATGTCCAGATCATCTCTCTAGCAAAATATCTGCATGTTTTTGGCGCGCAGAAAATTGTTCAACATTTTACGTGTTTGTTTCATTTTTCAAATCTGCGGAAAATCACCGGCGCGCAGAAATCGCCGGAAAACCAATGGAATTCTGCAGGAACATGTATGGAATTGCTCCGGGGGGATTGTTTTTTTTTGGGGGGGGCGGCGATTTTGAGATCGGCGATCATGATTTTGAGGCGCGACGATTCTGGGGAGATTCGCCGGAAGTTTTCTCAAGCGCGACGATTATTGAGAGATTCGTGCGTTGCTATAAAGCGTGAAGTTTTTTGAAGATTGGAGGGTCGCGTGGATTCGCGGGGACAATTGTTGGAGTGTCCAGGGCGATGCCAGGACTTTCGTGGACCTCTAGGCCAAGACCTCGCGGCTTCCTGGTCGGTTGCGAACTGCGCAATGATCGCATTTCTCGTGGGTTCCTGGAAGGCCCAGCGGAGTGGGGTGATACGCAGACCCAGCTGGGACCTCGCGGCTCCTTGAGGGGCTGCGCACTGCGCAATTTTCGCCACTTTCGTGGGCTCCTGGGAGGCCCAGCGGAATTGGGTGGTGCGCAGACCCCGCCGAGACTTCGCGGCTCCCTGGGGGGCTGCGAACTGCGCAAATGAATTGTCGCCATTTTCGTGGGCTCAGACCCAGCCGGGACCTCGCGTTTTCTTTGGGAGGCTGATATCTGCGCAACCGTCGCCACTTCCGTGGGTTCCTGAGGGGCCCAGCGGAGTAGGGTGGTACGCAGACCCAGCCGAGACCTCACGGCTCCTTGGGGGGGCTGCGCGCTGCGCAAGTGTCGTTTTTTCCTTGGCTTCTTGGGAGGCCCAGCGGAATTGGGTGGTACACGAACCCAGCCGGAACTTCACGATTCCCGAAAGCTATGAACTGCATAGCTCTCGCCATTGTGGTGGCCTCTTGGGAGGCCCAGCGGAATTACGCAGACCCAGCCGAGATTTTGTGGCTCCCCAGCGGGCTGCGAAGTGCGGGTCTTTCATCATTCTCGCTCATAGTGAGCAATTCTTCGTAAAGCCGCTGCATTTATTTTTAGATGCTTTTCTGAGAAACAAACAAACTAATATGTTATTTGCGGGGGCCACTTGGGCACGTCTTCGCGCACTTAAGGCTCGCGAGGAACAGCCAGGGGTGCTCACGAGTGCTCCGAGAGAGCTTGAATATGAACGGATATAGCATAATCCGTTTCCTGGTTGGATGCGTTGTTCTGTTCAATGTCGGTTATACTTTGAGGCTCTTTTGCGCGTGTCTTGGAGCACGGGAAAAGCACCGGAGAGGCTCGCAGGGAGCACGCAGGGGGAGCGAATATGGCTCCAAGGCAGCCCAGATAGCCCCGAGGGGGGGTCTTCAAGGGCTCCCAAATCAGTTGAAACCGTGTCCTAGCGGGACGCTGTTCTGTTAATCTGTTGACGAAGTGGGGAATCTCTTGGGCGTTTCTTGGAGATCAGGAGCTTCGACGCGACGAGCTGTTCGGCTTCAGCGAGCTGGTCTTTGGATCAATTCCACGGCGTGCGAGTCCCAGGTTTAGCGCGCCGTGGATTTCATCCACGGATGCACACTAGTCTACTCATACGACCACCCTGCGGGTGATAAGGAGGTTTGGGGGGGAGGGGGCCAAAAATGGGCAACAGTGGTGATTGTTGTTCTGACGATGCCAGTGGAGATTGTTGCGTTGCCGCTCGCTCTTGGGAGCCCTGGTGTCGAGTCGTTTACGTCACCCTGCACAATCGATCTCACAATCGATCTCACTATCGGTCTCACTATCGTTTTCGCACCAGCAGGACACCGGGACACCAGCGGGACACCGGCGGGACACCGCGAGACCCCGTTTGCCGGTCGGGAAACATTTGGTCCGGCCGCGCTTCAGCCACAGGAGACAAACCGGGACACCAGCGGGACACGGGCGAGACACTGGCGGGACACCGCGCGGCCCCGTTTGCCGGGGGGGGAATCATTTAGTCCGGCCGCGCCTCAGCCACAGGAGACTTTCCTCTCTCCCGCCCACGCAGCTTCGACTCGCCCGCACGCCCGGCACGCACGAACACGAAACCGAAACCGATCTCCCGGTGGGGGGCTCTCCGTTCCACTTCGACCTCACCCCCCAACCTCAAATACTACAGTCAAAAACCCTGATAGGACACGCGACTTTGCTCAGGGTACCCTTGCGTCCTTGCTCTTCCTTGCTCTTGCGTCCTTGAGGTTTTCGTCGCCCGCCGCCCCAGAAATCCCAACTTCGGCTTCCAAGGGTCTTGCGTCCTTACCGCGCGTCCTTATTAAGGGTTTTTGACTGTACAATGCTCGAGCCAGTGAGCGCGAGACTGCGCTGCCGAAGCTCGGCCAGGGGCGGCTCCCGGCGCTCCCCGGGCGCCCCCGGCGCTCTCGGAGCGGTCTTGGACGGCCCTGGACGGTCGCTAGAATTTTCCAAGACGTCCAACGACGGCTCAGAGACGGTCAGGAGAGCGCCCAGATGGTCCGAATGAGCCCGAAGCGAGCCTCATAATGGCCCAAGTTGGCGCCAAGGCAAGCCAGGAGTCCTCCCGAGACGGCCCAAGAGGACCCCGATGACCGCCCCACGATGCTAGAATCGCAGATTCTATTCAGCTTTCATGGGTTTTCATCATTGTCTCAGCACTTCGCCCCAAGAACGGCTCCAGACGGTTCCCAGCGCCTCTTAGATCGCCCCATCATTGCCCATCAGGCTCCCAGGAGCGGCCCTAGACGGCCCAACAGGGCCTTGAGATGGCCGAAGACGGCCGCGGCCCGAAGGGAGCTCCCACAGAGCCCTGGAGAGCCCCAAGGACGCCCCAGGAAAGCTCCAAGGCGACTAAAGTAAGCTTCCCGGGCAGTCCTCCAAAAGGGGCTCTGGGATACAGCCCTGGGGTGGCCCCAGAGGCGCACCAAATATCGCAAGAAACCTTCCAGAGGCCCAGACAGCTTCGCAGAAGGACTCAAGATGCCCGCGACACTGCCCAAGAGACACCCAAATTATCCCAAGGGTGGCCCCTGAGGCCCTGAGGCCCCAGACAGGCCCCCAGGAGGCCCCGAATATCGGGTATGTGATGCAGGCCACATGTGGAGCGCGCGCCCCAGCAAAATCGTCATGGCGGAGTACTGGCGCCCAGTCACAGTGGAGGACCAGGGCGCCCCGCTCACACCCTGACGAGACGTGGCTCAGGAACGGCCCTACCCACCCAGCGCATCTCTGCGCCTCCCGGAACGCTCGCTCTTTTCTCCCCTCTCGTTGTGCCGCTCCTCCTCTCCGCTGCCTGCCCCGCCTCGTGCCACCTGAGAGCGATGGCCTTGGCCCTCTTCACCCAGCGGTTGGGAGTGGTGCGCAGATTCGCGTAGCGTCGTCGCGGCGCCGACCTCAGCGCCGGCATCAAGTGTTCAACGCCGACATTGGTCCAGAGTCGGCCGTCGTGGACGCTGCTGCGATTTCGAAGCTGCCGATCGCGCAAGAGCAACATCGCGGTGACCGACCGCGGAGCGTTCAACCCATTCAAAGCTGCCGACCGTTGAGCGTCCATGCGGTGTCAAGAGCAACAGCACAGCTCGTCACGCGGATTCGCTGCCGCGACACGCTCAGGCGCTCCGAGATCCTCCACATGCACTCTTGTCCTCCCCCCCGTCCCCTCGACGAGCCCCACGTTATGTTAGGATTCCGTTTCTTGTCCTGTGGCTTAAACCTGCAGCTTGCGAGTCCCATGTTCATAAAACCGAGGGGGTAATCCACGGGTCCACGCTCGTCAGCTACAGCGCTGGGATCAGCGCGTGCGAAATGGGCGAACAGTGGCAGCGAGCTTTGGAGCTGCAGGGCGAGATGTGGGCGGCGACAGTCCAAGCCGACGTCCTTTATACTACAACGATGGCCTCGCAGCGTCCAAGATGTGCGAGCAATGGCCAGGCACCCAGGCCCCAAGACAGTCCGCAGGGCCTTCTGCAAGCTTTTGAGGCCCAGCAGGCCCCGTGTTGCCCCTTGCGGGCGCCCCAGCGATACTCCAAGACGACCCAAGATAGCCTGCCCAAGGACGGTCAATGGGAGCCCCAGTTCTGTTCATTCGGCTTCACGGCATCAGAGAGATTCGTGTGGCCCCCCGAGCGCATCGGACGGCTCCGAGAGGGCTGAGAAGAGGGCATATGGGAGGGACAAGCTTAGATGATCCAAGCAGTCCTCCCATGTAGGGTATCTTTTTCCAGTTCAAAGGAACAGGGCTGTGTCTTCGATCTGGCGGCTATGTAGCCGCCGTCGCCGCCCCGTCGCCGCCTTGTCGCCGCCCGTCGTCTGGGCCGTGCCTTCGGTCTGGCGGTTATGTGGCCGCCGTATTTCACAACATGGGTAACACCACATCGGTTCTCCTTTTCAAACAAGAGAATGGATTCTACCCCCCCCCCCCCCAGGATTCTCGTTTCCGTTTGTCGTATTGCTATGTACGTATGTTTCTGCCCATCGTCCATCCGAAAGATGAACTCGTACCATCCCAGGCAGGCCGGTATCGACACCCCCCGCCCCCTTTTCCAACAAAAACACTATGCGCGCACTCGTCGATAACAATCATCAGTCTTCAATAATATTGTACAAACAAAAAACAACGGGATGAAGCGCACACGCGCGCGTTGTCGCGCGCGCCGAAATATTTTAAGCACCGTAGGTTCCGCAAGGATGTCAAAATCGAGTGTCCAACAACATTTTTTTTGACAGAAAAATGTTCTCGCAACGCGGATTTCCCAGAACAAATTGCGCGCGCCCTGTTGCGAAGAACCATCGTCTTTGCAACATTTCCAGCACATGCCACCAAGCGGGCTTCGCGCGCGCATGTCGAAATCGTTCGTGCGCCCTTGCGCGCGTGCTGTCGCGAGACTCCTTTTCTGCAACAAATTGGACGAAGTGCGCGCGCACGTCGTCGCGCGCTCATGTCGAAATCTTTCAAGATTTTGGACCGCGTAAGGATTTCAAAGCCGAGTGTCCAAAACATACATAAAGCACATGGCTGCGCAACAACAGTTTCCAAACCAACGGCGGTCGCGCTCTTGCGAATTCTCAAGAAAGCCATACGTTTTTCAACACTGAATTCTGCCAGAAGAACCACTCGCGCCGCATGCCGACATCATTCGCACGCCCTTGCACGCGCGCTGGGGGGACACGCTCTGTGTTAAAAAATGCGGGCCACTCTCGCGCGTCGGCCGCGCGCGCATGCCGAACTCTTTCCAAAACTTTCATCACCGACGCGATGACGCCGTCATCGTCGTCGGCGTGATGAGCATCGGCGCCCTCACTGGCCGCGCCTTCGTCGGTGCGAACATCGTCACCAACATCGCCACGACCATCATCATGTCTACCGTCGTTGCCGTTGCCATGATACCGCGCCCGCCCAACTCGCCGACTCGCAGTGAGTTCCCGCTGGGATGTGCCCAGCGGTCAGCGCCACCGCGACCGCGCCGGCTGCGCCAAACCAGCTGACCGCTGCACGCGCGTGCTAAGGTTGGGTCGGCCGCAGAGACGCACGAACCAACGCCAAGCATGCATCGCAATCGCCACCGCACGGGTTTTGCAAACCAAGTTGCGGGTGGTTGGGTGGGATAGTTGCAGGAGCATGGGATGTGTCAACTCGTTTGTTGAAATCTACTGCACCACGTCGGTTGCACAACCTTGATCGAACCGCATAGATTGCACCACTTGGATTGCACAACACGTACCGCACCACATTAAATGCACAACTTAAAATGAGACATATAAGTTGCACCACGTACATTGCATGATACCGGAGAAAAAACACAAATCATAATTGTTTAGGGCTATTGGGTTATTCAGCTATGGGGCAACATGGCTATAGGCCTAGAGGGCTTTAGGGCTATATGGCTATAGCGCTATAGGGCTATAGGGCGATTGAAGGCTTTATCGGGTTACAGAGCTAAGGGCTATAGAGCTATATATCTAAGGGCTTACGGGGGCAAGCTACGATTGGGGAACCACATAAATTGCACAGTTGACAATATAGATGGCTCCACATAGGTTCTCTTTTTAAAAAAGAGAATTGTCTCTCCCCCCACCGGCGTTATCGGTCCCCCTTTCGGGCATGTCAATCCTATATGATTATGACCACATGTCCATCCTAAATATGAATTTGCACTATGTTCGAAGGGGCCAGTATCGGCCCCCCTGCGGCCCCCTTGCAACAAAAAACGATACGCAGGGACATTTTTTGTTCTAGCATCAGACAATCCGCGAATCCCTTTGCACAAAAAGGGGACGAAGTGCGCACGCGCGCGTCGTCGCGCGCGCATGCCGAAATCCTTCCAAAACTTTCGGTGTCGGAAGGACTTCGCAATCGAGTTACCAAAACACATACAAACACAAAGGGTTTCGCAACACTGGCTTGCTAAAAATGCTTACGCGCGTGCTCTTGCGAAATCTTAAGAGAACCAGCGGTTTTTCAAGATTTTCACAACATGCTACCAAACAGGCTTCGCGCGCGCATATCGAAATCTGTCGAACGCCCTTGCGCATGTGCCGTCGCGAAAATCCTTTGCAAAAGATGTGACGAAGTGCAGGCGCGCGCGTCGTCGCTCGCGTATGCCGAAATCCTTCCAAGGATTTCAAAATCGTGCGCCCAAAAAACTTTACAAAAACACAAGGTTTCGCAACACGGATTTTCAACAAAAGCGTGCGAGCACGCGCTTTTGCGTCGTCGTCGTCGTCGCCCACGTCGTCCTGTGTCTTTTCGTGGTCGTTTCCGTCGTCGTTGTCGCCGTGGTCGTCCTTCCTCCTCCTCTTTCGTCGTCGTCGTCGTCCGTCGTCGGCGTCTCGTCGTCGCCCCTCCTATTTCGTCGCCGTCGTCGTTGTCGTCGTCGTCGTCTTCCCTCCTCCCTCGTCGTTGTCGTCGTCGGCGTCGCCTTCCTTCCTCCTTCTTCGTCGTTCGCGTCGTCGCCGTCCGCCCTCCTCCCTCGTCGTTGTCGTCGTTGTCGTCGTTGTCGCCGTCGTCGTCCTCCCTCCTCCCTCGTCGTCGTCCTCGTTGGCGACGTCGTCGTGGTCTTCGTCGTCGTCGTTGGCGTCGGCGTCGTCGTCGTCTTCGTCGTCGTCGACGTCGGCGTCGTCGTCGTCGCCGTCGTCGTCGTCGTCGTCGGCGTCGTCGGCGTCGTCATCGTCGTCGTCGTCGTCGGCGTCGGCGTCGTCGTCGTCGTCGTTGTCGTCGTCATCGTCGTCGAAGTCGTCGGAGACGTCGTCGGTTGCGTCGTAGTCGTTGTCGTCGGTGTCAGTCTTAAGCGGTTTTGCAAACCAAGTTGCGGGTGGGTGGGTGGGATGTTTGAAAGAGCATGGGATGTGTCAAATCATGGGTAAAAGTCAATTGCACCACTTAGATTGCACCGCGCAGCTTGCACCACTGATATTGCATCGCATAGGGCGCACCACATGAGCTGCACCACGTGAACTGCACCACGTAGCTTTCACAATTTAGATTGCGCCACGTACATCGCAGCACATTGATTGCACATCATGGGTTGCACAACCCCGATTCTCCTTGCTAATAAAGTATTCGGATCCCCACCCGGCCTTATGGGGACACTTTTTGTGCTGCAATTTGCATATGGTTCTGCTTGGTCGTCCACCCTAAGTTAGCACTCGTACCATCCCAGCCGAACCGGGTTCGACCCCTCCCACCATCCTCTACAACGAAGACTATATGCGCACACTCGTTTATCACAAATTACAAGTTGTCATGGACCCCTGCCGAAAATATGACGAATTGCACACGCGCGCGTCGTCGCTCGCGCATGCCGAAATCCTGCAACAACTTTAAGCTTAGTAACGGTTTCAAAACCGAATGTCCAAAGCACATTCAAAAACAGGGTTTCGAACCATCGGTTTTCAGCAGGAAGTTTGCGCGCGCGCTCTTGCGAAGTCTTGACACAACCACAGGTTCTTCAACATTGCCATGGCATTCTGCCAAAGGGGCCTCTGGTGCCGCACGCCGACATCATTCGCACGCCCTTGCGCGAGTGCTGGGGGGGCACGGTCCGTGTCAAATAAAGCCATGCGGGCCACTCTTGCGCGTCGGCCGCGAGCGCATGTCGAACTCTTTCCAAAGCTTGCATCACCGACGCGAGGACGCGGTCATGGTCGTCGGCGTGATCAGGATCGGCGCCCGTACTGGCCGCGCCTTCGTCGGTGCGAACATCGCCACCAGCATCGCCACTATCATCATCGCGCCTACCGTAGTCGGCATTGCCATGATACCGCGCCCGCCCCAGTCGCCGATTCGCACTGAAGTGTCCGCTGGGATGTGCCCAGCGGTCAGCGCCACCGCGACCGCGCCGGCGGCACCAAACCAGCTCGCAGCCGCAGAGATGCATAAGCCAACGCCAAGCATGCATCGCAATCGCCACCGCACGGGTTTCGCAAACCAAGTTGCGGGTGGGTGTGTGGGATGTTTGCAGGAGCATGGGATGTATCAGCTCGTTTGTGAAAATCAATTGCACCACGTAGACTGCACAAGAGCGGTTGTTAGAAATCCACTGCGGTTTTCGAATGGGTTGTTGCGTACACCCGCTCCTGTGGTTCCCTTCCCACGCGGACGAAGATGCCCACAGCACGGCTCCAGATGGCGCCGAGGCGGTCCCGAGATGATGGCACCAAACAACAACGCCTCGCCGGCCGCCCGCGAGGGCCCTAAGGAACCCCCCCACAGCACTTTCGGAGGCCACCACGGTGCCTTCTGGAACATTGCTGGACCCCCGGAGCAGGGCCGCAAGAATTCCCCCAACAGGGCCAACAGGTTTGTCAAGCGGGGTAGCTGTTCTTGATCCTGTCCGCGCACCCGAGTGGCCTGGCAGGCGTCTCCAAGAGCCTCTGCGGAAGCCTTCCTCGAACCCCAAAAGAGACCCAAGAGCACCCCCGAACTAACCAATACATTTGCCCTTTCCAGGTGCCACCAGCGAGCAGCTTTGGCAGGCAGACGTAACAACAAACAGCAACAGGCAACTCCAGCGAGCACAACTAGCAGGCAGCAGCAATCTTGCAGCAGCAACCAGCACCTGCGTGTAGCAGTAGCCTCGTATGAGCACGTTTTCACATCACCAGCGCCAAGGAACAGCATGCAGTGAACACGAGCAGGCACGCCGCAAAATCCGCACCATGCAACATCAAGCAACGGCACCAATGCGCAGCAATCAGCATCCCGCACCGATCAATCAACAACAGGCGGCAGCAGAAGCAGGACCCAGGAAAGAATGATCATCAAGCAAAAATCGGCAACGGCAAGAGGCAGTAAGTGGCAGGCAATCGATGAACAAACATCGAACCAACACGCAATACATCAGGCCAGCAGGTCCTCATAGAATCAGGCAAGCGGGCGAGCAAGTTGTTGGGCCAGCAGGCTAGCAACAAAGCAAGCAGGCCAGCAGGCAAGCCGGTAAGCAGGCAAGCTGAACTGGCGGCAGCAAGCATCAGCCTCCAACATAATGCTGCAGCGGCAGGAAGCAGCAAGCAGCAGCAACACGTATTAAAAACACCAGCACTAAGCAGCAAGCATAATCATCAATCCGCAGAAAGCAGTTGCCCGCACTCGCAAACAGGACGTAGCAGCACAATATCCATGCACCAGCAACGAGCGCCAAACAACAACGACAGAACAGGTGCAGACAGCAGCAGCGAGCGGTCGAGCAAGCGATGAAACAAGCAAGCGGGCGAACAGGCAAACATGGTACCAGGCACGCCAGTCAGCATGCAAACAGGAAGATCTGAGAAAACGGTGCTCTCCCTGCTGGCTAGCAGCCATGCGTTCAGGACGGCGCGCACGCAGCCAAGCGGAGCGGGCAAGCAATGTTCATCTTTGCATGTGAGTCAGCCGATCGGGCCGTAAGTCCACGGGCCAACTCTAGTCAGCTACAGCGTTGGCATCAGCGCGTGCGCGAAAGGCGTGCAGTGGCAGCGGGCTCTGTCGCTCATCGGCGACATGTACGCAGCCAATCTTGAGGCCGGTGACGACATCCGTGACATTGTGGTCAGCGCGTGCGAGAGAGCCAATTGCCGTGACCCGGGGGGGTGGCTCTTCCTTGACCCAGGCCGAGGCTTCCGGGAGGCCTAGTCTCTGCGTGGACCGCAGCATGATCACATTTTCCAGCTCTTCGGCGGTCTCCGACGCTCAGCTAGAACTCAGCTGCGTACAGAGGGGCGTACTGGCAGGAGGGAAGGCTTCTTAGATCCCGCTTCTTTGAAGGCGCGGGCCCTGTCTGGAGATGCAGGGATGGCGCCTTCTACGAAGCAGGCTCCCTGTAAGAAGTCATCCCCCCTTCCCTAACCACCTTGTGCGCGCCGCCAAGCTCCGACGTTCAGATAGAACGCTGTGGCCAGGGCAGGAAGGCGAGCAGTTGCAGCGAGCTTCGTGTGCCGCTCAGCGAGATGTGGGGGTCCACCAGCATACACTATGGCGCTGGTGCCATCATGTGCTGGAGAACCCGGCTCTAACGTGATATTGGGGTCAGCGCGTGCGAGAAGGCTGTGTGCTTTGACCAGGGGGATGGCTTCAGCTTGGTCCGAGCTTGGGAGTTCTGCTGGGACTCGGAGGCGCGGTGTCAGGGTCACAGCGGGCAAGCAATTCATCAGGCACGCCCGTCGACATGCAAACACCATCAAAAACAGCACTGGTATCAGCGCGTGCAGCAAGGGCAAGCAGTGCCAGCCAGCTTTCACGCTGCGTAGCGAGATGCGAGAAGCACAACATTTGCCCGATGTCAAGGCATACAACATCAGTGTAAACGCACGCGGGAAGGGTTAACCATGCCAGCGGGCCGTGGTGCTGCTCAGCGAGATTTGGAAGGCGAAGCTGGAGCCCACCGTCATTCTTGGTTCACCTCGGAATGGCATCCGCAAAGACGAAGAGACATTTCATACAACTGTTGGGTACACGGAGCCAACATATGATCAAGTCTGCTTTGCTGGGCAAGCGGCGCACTCGCAAAGCGTGTGCCCCATCAGACTTCACGCCGTCTGGCGCCGTAGCCGCCAGAAGCGGGCTTGCAGCACAAACCATGCGCGATGTGGCTGTCTAGCTGTCACGGCCGAGGGTGCCGCCTCGCAGCACTGAGCCCGTGGACGACCTCCCGGCAACACACTGCAGAGCGAGCCCCAGCGGGCGTGTGCAACCCGGGCGGCCCGACCGTCGTCGTAAGGTTCCGCGTCGACGAGAACAGCACCCTCACCCCGCCTCTCGCGATTCTGGTGGCCACCCTGACGGCGAGCACTCAGCATGCCATGGATGTTCTTTCCGTCACTCAGTTGGGTGCGTCGTTTTTGGCACCCGAGCCCAGGTATGTTCTGCGGGCTCTCGCTTCGACGTCACCTTGGCGTTCGCCTTGTTTTTCTCGCCATCCTGCTGCGCCTTCTTCTCCACCGGCACCTCCTGGTATCATGGCTGTGGGAGCGGCTCCAAGAGGGGCAAGGGAGAGGGAGGGGCCTCCCTGGGTGGCAGGCCGTGCAGGGGTGCTTGTCTGGTCTCCCACCCCTTACTCCGCGTCTGCTCGGTGTCCCCCGTCTCACGCTCCACCGTTCCCCGAGTCCCGAGAAGAAAGAGCGGGGGATCCCTCCTCCTCCTCCTCCTCCTCCTCCTCCTCCTCCTCCTCCTCCTCCTCCTCCTCCTCCTCCTCCTCCTCCCCCTCCGTAGCCATTTTGGCTCAAGATGTTTGTGCCCCGTGGCAGAGCACGGAGACCCCTGGTCCGGGGACTGCTAGGACCGCTGCTTTCCGCCTTCGCCGTGCCCGCGGCGTTGAGCATTTCCATCTCCTTCGCTGCTGAGGCGCAGCTTACATATCTCTCGCCGCCAGCGCTGGCCCCGCGCACGATAGCCTCGCGATGGGTGTGCCTGGTGTCGCCAGCTCCGCCGACTCCTGGGCCGACTACACCGACAAGGGCAAGGGCAAGGACACTGCGGGCCGACCCCTGGGCCGCTGGAGCTCAGAAGCTTGCCGCGATCGACCTCCCCGCACACCAGCGGAAGGTGCTCACCGATCTCCTCCAGACCCAGGTCGGCAAAGCCGCCGCCGCCTTCGAAGCCACATCCAAACAAGTTGCAGCTGCTGCGCAAGCTGAGTTCCTGGCCAACATCACGAAGCTCACCGAACAGCTCAGCAACCGCCAGGAGTCTGCCGAGAGGGATATTACCGAACTCACAGGCCGTGCTGACCGTGCTGAACGCCTCCAAGGCGAACTCAAGGCAAGCGTGGACGCTTTACAGCAAGCTCTTCGTCATGCCGAAGCTCTCCACCCAGCCATGGATCTGGACGCCATGGGTGCCTGGGACCGCCCACCGAATGCTGCAACCTTCTGGTGTGGGGCTGCCTCAGAATTCTCCGTCGCCTCGCTCAAGACCACGCTCGCCTCCTGGTTCGAAGCCGCCGACGTGGACATCAATGCGCTCCGCATCAACTCAGAGGGCCCAGCACGGAGAATTTCGTTCACACTCACTGGCGGCAACTCGATTGCTCTCCCGCGAGCACAAGCTCTGCATCGCGCACTTCGGCACGGTCGTGAATGGCGGCGCTTCCAGGTGGAATCGGACTCTGGACTCACTGCCCTTTACGTCTCCGCGGACAAGTCGCCACGCATGGTCCGCCAAGAAGTTCAACTCAAAAAGCTCAACAAGCTCATCAACGACAAGTTCCCCACGCTCGAGACTCGGGTTCACCGCGCTGGAGGCTTCCTGTCCGTCGACGGCGCTCCCATCGCCCAGGTCACAGCTGGCGCCACTCCTGATGCAGCCACCCAGGTCCGCTGGTCCGACGCTGCTACCCCCGCTGGCATCCCTATCACCGAGCATGCGCCATTGGCCGCCGCGCTGGCCGCCGCATTCGCCAACCCACTGGAGGCAGCACGGTGGCTTTAGCATGCGATGGTCGCCGTGGTTCACGAAACCGCACGACGGCGGCCTCAGCTTGGTCTCGTGGAATGCGCAGGCGCTCAATGGCAGATCGGCACCAAGGCGGGCCCTCAAGCGACAGTTGTTGCTCCGTTACATGCGGCAACGAGCGATCATCGCCATCCAAGAGACGCACGGCAACAGCGCCGACATGGACCTCCTGGCCGCGGGCTCCGACCACAAGTACATCGCCTTCCACTCAGCGCTAGTGACTGACGGCCAATCCTCGGGGACTGCAGGCGGAATCACTTTCCTGGTTCCCTTTGACCGAGCTGAGCTCCAACTGCCACATGATCAACGACCTCTACGTTGATTTCGCGCGATCGCCCCTGGGCGCATTGGTGAACTACGCATTCAAGACGGGGCAAGACAGCATGAGACAACAATCTTCAACATTCACAACTACGACCTCAGCGGTTCTGACCGTCAGCGCTTCAAAGCTGCGCGGCAAGCAGCTGCTCAACGCCCAGCCCTCCACCCAGACAACCACGACTACTACATGATTGGCGACTTCAATATCGCCCAGACGCCGCCGAAGAGCCTGCTTCACCCCACCGCGGACCCCACCGCCGAGCGTTACCACTACCAGCCTGTCTTTTGGAAGAACATCTTCTCACAGATGATGGAGATCACTGCGAAGGCCACCACTCACCGATGCGTGGCCAACGTGACGGAGGCGACCATTGACCGATGCTTCGTCTCGATCAACGCGCCCAACATCCCGCACATCGAGACACTTCTTGCTGCCGATGGCCGACCGCTCGACCGATGAGGGGGGCCCATCAGCGACCGCAAGATTCTCCATCTACGGCTTCGACCTCGTCAGCCACGTCCAGCCAGCGAACGCGGCATCCCCGCCTTCCTCTTCGAATCCAAGCACTACAAGTTCTACTACAATCGCCTTGTCGAGATGGCCGACCTCTCTGCCGACCCCGTCTCCAACTGGCGGACAATGAAGCACGTAATGAAGATGGCGGCGTGCAAGGCTCGCGACTCCATCACCTCTGTCTCCGCCTCCGAGATCAAGCCGTTCGAGAGCCGAAATGAAGACCCACTAGTCATAGCAGAGGCACGTGCACTCACACTCCGCAGCATTGCCAGGGCCGTCTGGTACCAAGACCTCACTCTCGCTCAGCGACTTCGAGAGGACACCGCTGCTGGGGCACAGCACATCGACATCAGTCACCACAAGATCTCGCTTGTCGACCGCACCGCGTTCGAGACCGAGCACTCCGCCATGCAGCTTCAGATCGCTGGGCAACGACGTCGCGCTGCCGCCGCCCGCTCGCGAGCTGCCTACGCGGAACAACGACCCGACCTTGGTGAGCGATGGCGTCGTCGTGCTCGTCGCATTGGACAGCGCAGCGAGATCTGGAAGCCGTTCTCGAAGCGCTTGATTCTGACAGCAGAGGCCCGACAGTCGCCAACGACCCCGTGGACATGCACAACGCTATTCAATCTCACTGGTCGAAGGTGTTCGCTGCTAAGCACGTTGGCGCCCCAGCGATGCAGCAATGTCTGGACATGGTCTTCCCACCAATGCCTCCGCGTCACCTGCCTCTACCTGGGATTGAAGAACTTCAAGCTGCTGCTAAACGCGCCAGTGACTCTGCTCCTGGGCCCGACGGACTGCCTTATCGAGCATGGGTACGGTCAGAAGGCAGCATCGGGATCCTCCACACACTCCTCCACTCCATTGCTCAAGGTGGACCGATCCCACACGACCTGAACTACGCGCTCAGGGCCATGCTCCCCAAGGGTGATGAGCCCATGGGCAACTACGAGTGCTCTCGCAGTCCTGACTGTCTACGCCCCCTCGCCATGAAGAGCAGTGACATCAAGATCATCGCCTCCGCGACGAACCGCATCCTCAGCTCCGTGGCGTCGGATACCGAGGAAGAACAACCAGGTTTTGTCAGCGGCCGTCAATTTTTTCCAACATTGGCAAGGTGGACACCATCGCCCGTATCACCAGCATCAACAGCGAAGCCCCCAGCATGATGCCCTGCTTCGCCAGCATGGACATTGCCGCAGCGTTCCCGAGCCTCACGCACGCGTGGTTGTGGGCTACTCTAAGGCGGTGGGGCATCCACGGCGTCTTTCTCAATCTCCTGCAGTGCTGCTACAACATGCCACTTGCTTTCCTCGACTTAGGTGGTACTCGTCGACCGCTACTTCTAGCAGAATCTGGGGTTGCGCAAGGATGCCCCTTGAGCGGCACGCTCTGGGCGCTAGTCTTCGATCCCATCATCAAGGGCCTCAGGATGGAACTTACTGCTCTGGGTAGAGGCCTGCTCAGCGCATGCGCCGACGACCTGGGTATAGTTCTTGCTGCACTTCGGGATCTTGGCGCTCTTTTACCACACCTGCAAGCTGCACAACATCACGCTGGACTCCGCCTTCAACCGAAGAAATGCGTCCTCGTACCCACCTGGTCCCTGCCTACGCCCGAGATCACCGCGAACACGCGTGCCATCCTGACTCAGCTCTACGAGCCGTGGCAAGACGTCTCCATCAAGAGCTTTGCGCGCTACCTTGGCGTGTGCATCGGCCCTGGTGCTTCTCTCGACTATCAATGGCAAGGTCCTGCCAACAAGTGGTGGGGGCGCACCCAGATCCTGTGCGACTCCTACGCTCCCATCCAGCAGTGCATCAAGATGTACAACTCCGCTGCCATCACATGCCTCTCGTACGCCGGCCAGCTCTACCCGCCTTCCCCAGCATTCCTGTCCAAGGAGATTCACGGGCTCCACAAGCTGATCCGCGCTGCCCCCTCGAGCTTCACGAAGATGGACATCCTGTCGTTCACGCTATGGGCGTCCGCCACGATCCCGCACGGTATTGAAACGCTTCTCGCAGCAACGATGTGGCGCGCCTCCACGACCAGCATCTCTGGCTGGCAGCCTCTGCTTCACACATTCCGTGCCCATGCTGAAGAACTTCTTCCGCTACGAGATGTAGTTGTTGGCAAAGGATCCATCTTCAAGATTCTCACGCGATCCACAGGGACCACGGTGAATGCCGCCCAGATACTTCAACGAGCACATGCGCAAGCTGCTGCAGCTGGACGACACGCTATCATGGCATCCCGTCGTAACAAGGCGGAGGATCTGTACACACACAGTCGTGACAGGACTGGAGCCCACCAGGCACCACGCCGTGACAGGGCTGGTGGCCTTCACACGCCCAGTCGTGACAGGACTGGCGGATCTCATCAGAGACAAGCTGGAGCCACAGCTTCGAATGGTGCTACTTCGAGTGCCACTTCACGCACCTCTCCACAGCAAGCATACCTACGGGAACTGCAACGCCAGCTGTACCGCGACTCTTTCCACAAGACTATCCATCACCGTCTCCGCGCCTGGTTCCCACTACTTCCTGTTGAAAGTGGACCTCAGACGGCACCTGCCACGACCGAGCAGCCGAATGGCAACGACAGCCGTGACTCCATGAAGTACCGGAATGAACGTACAGAAGCATGGGCAGCAATATGGATCCCCAGCGTGTTCTTCGGCCGCGATATGGGCAACTTCAACGACTGGATGGACTGGTGCGCCCCGTACTTCAAAGCTGTTCTACACCGCACCCAGTTCAATGCGCACTTCTGCCTCGATGACCAGTACGGGTCAGCCAATGCTCGCCGTGACATGGCGAAGGAGATATGTTACGGTGCATGGCATC